ATTAGAAAATAAATATATGTGTATGTGAAGTGCACACACAAAAATTAACATGAGATTATTACAGTTGTGAAAAAAAGTTTTCTCAAAATCTGCCAAGCCCGCCCATGTGCACACTGAAATGTGACAGAACAGATTTACTGTCTCATTCCATAAGCACTTTCTGAACACCACTGGTGGCAAATGCCCTATGCAGGGTACTGAGTACACGAAGAGGAGTGAAAGGAAATTTTCCTGCACTTCTCATGGAAGAGCTATATCAACATGGCATGATTAGCCTTCATAAAAAGACAAGGCAACTCAACTGGTTTTGCCAAAGACTAATCATGTTCTTCTTACTCTGTAAAGTAATGCGACACAACTAGTTACACATCATCAACAATTTCTTTGGGGATGTTCGCTGGGTTTATTGGGTTTGGTTCATTTGGTCACTGGACGAATATTCATTGAGCCCCAAATAGTCACTACAAATGTGTCTCAAAGGAAATCTTAACTCTAAAACTATACAAGGACATAATGCATAAATAAATTATTTGGTGTTTTCTTTTGATTTCCTTTTCAGTAAGAAAAAAATAGAACAGAAAAGCAGCAACACAATCCTTCAATATTAACTACAACCGGCAGATGAAAGCATGGACAAATGTCACATCTATTCTACCTGTCTACTTCTCATCCATCTGTGGTGATGTCCCATTTCTATAGTATAGACCCTACTAAGAAAGCAGTGAAGAAACACAGAGTGGATTTCAGAATGAAATAATTAAAACTGTAAGCTCTTAGATTCTGATTGCAGGCAGCCCCAGGTGCATACAAAGCAGATTTCTGCCAAGAAATACAGTGCAAGCTGTTGACACTCAGCTTCCTTCAATATGAAAACTTCCCCAACAATTCAAGGTCACAGCCAATGATCTACTATTTAGAGTTCAAAGTACAGCATTTTTTAGCATATAGTCCAAGTAGTTTCCAGGAGATTAAATAACATAAGCACAATAATTGAAAGAGTAGGGAAGAATAAAACATCTGTACGTGGCCATCTTCATCTGGACTTCTTGCAAAATGGATAAGCAGAAATCTAACATACACAAGTATTGAAAGAGCAGAATAAACCAAAACGCTGAATTGGTTTTAAAATAAACTATTCTAAGACTGTTTAAACAGCTAGAAGTTACAATAGAGCCCATATGGGCTCAGTGCACTACACAAAGGTTAACAAAAAATGGAGTTCTCTAAGAATCTCATGCTGAAACGGCTCAAAGTCAAAGGGATTGTTTTTTTCAATCAGGCTGACCTAAAGAGAGTAAGACATTAAGTTTGGATATAAGAGATCTTATTTCAAATGCTAGGAAAAAATGAGCAAGGTAGTTTAAGATTCATTACTTTAGGATGAAACATTTGACCCTTCTAGAAGTTAGTTTCCTCAATATGTAAAATGAGAAAGGTAAATAGTTCACTGGTCTTCAAATTTTATTTTCAGGAGTACAAGACTGCTTCAGGGTTAGGTGGAAACTAAGCCAGATCCAATCCTCGCTTAAATGAGAGCAGATGAAGTTTTAACTATTTTCTGTGTTTGGAATCCTGTGTAGAATTTCATTCAGGAAAAAAAAAAAGGAGGGGTGGGGGTGATGCTCTGCTGCTGAAAAAAAATTACCCAGAAAACAGCAAAAATAAATAACTTCAGATCACATTCATTCAAAATCATGATTGCAATAAATACTTCTAGTAAAAACAGAAACTGTCACGCTTCTGCCATAATGGAATAAGTAGAACTGATCATGCCCTCCTATCATAAACAACTAGAAAACTGGGGGAAAAAAGATATTTTTTCAGGCATGGAGACAATAGCTAGCCCAGGACTATGATCCATGAGTGAAGAAAAAGAGACAAATGAGTGAAACTCCTCTTCCAGGAGGACTCTCCATAACAGAGTGCAGGGAAGGGAACTGCCTGACAGTAATAATGGCCGTCTCACTGAGCTGAAGAGATAGAAAGAAGATTTGGGGAGACTAAAGAAGATGGGAGTCTGTGGGGCAGAATACCAGACAGTTTGGAGCTTGGCAGAGAAAAAGCTCCAGAAATCTGCACAAAGGCCCCTTGAGTCTGTGGCTGCCCATTAAGCTATTCATATGTAGGAGGAAAACACCATGCGGTTGGGCAAAGGACCGCGGAGCTGTAAACGAAGTAATTCCCAGTGGTCTCACTGGGCTGGGAGACCTTCCAGGTCTGAGAGACAATGAGTGGAGAAACTCACTGAACACCCCTACTTAGAAGTAGGGCTAACTAGCTTACATAAAGGCATCACCAGACCCATGCTAACAAAGCTTTTGAAAAAAACCTCAAAAATACAAGCTAAAGCACAATTCAGCTGCTACCTGAAACAAATTCCAAAAAATTTAAAAGAACACAATAAAATCTGGATGCTTAACATCACAATATCCAGCATTCAATCAAAAAATCCCAGGCACGACCATGAGTAAAATGATAAAACTATGATCCGTAAATAGGTGGGAAAAAGAGAAAACAGAACAGACCCCAAAATGTAAAAGATAATTCAGTTAGCAAAAAAGGAAGCTTTAAAAGTGTATATGAGTAGGCTCAAGTATTTATTTAAAACAAAGTATGATAAAAAGGAAAATGGAAGGCATAAAAAATGGAACTCATGGAGATGAAAAGCACAATACCTGAAATAAAAATAACAGTAAATTTAAAAACATAGCAACAGAAACTAACCAAAATGAGAGAAAAAAACAAAAAGGACTGCAAAAAAATGGACCCTAAGCAACCTGTGGAACAATATTAAACAGCCTTGATGTACGTGTAATTAGAATCAAGAAGAAAAAAGGGAAAGATGAGGAAAAGCATTTGAGGAAATACTGGCTAATAATTTTCCAGAGTCTTATAAAAATAATAAATTCACAAATAGAAGAAGCTCAATTAGGATGTGCACAACGAAAGGCACACCAGAGTACAACAACATCACGTGACTGAAAACCAGTGATAAAGATAAAATCTTAAAGCAGCTGTAGGAGTTGTTAAAATAGTCTACATAGAAGTCTTTTATCAGATACATGTATGGCAGGGGCACCTAGGTAGCTCAGTCGGTTAAGCATCCAACTTTGGCCCAGATCACAATCTTGGAGAGTGTGGGTTCCAGCTCCTTGTCAGGCTCTGTGCTGACAGCTCAGAGCCTGGAGCCTGCTTCGGATTCTGTGTCTCCCTCTCTCTCTGCCTCTCCCCAACTCATAAAGCCTCTCTCTCTCTCTCTCTCTCTCTCTCTCTCTCTCTCAAAAGTAAACATTAAAGACATTTTTTTGAGAAAAAAAGTTACATGTATGGCAAATATTTTCTCTAGTCTCTAGTATTACTCTCATTTTTAAGCAATGCTTTTTGTATGAGATTTTAATTTTCATCATACCCAATTTATCAATTTTTTACGCGTTTTTATATCCTACATAATAAACTATTTCCTATCTTCAGACAATGAAAATATTCTATAATCTCGTATGGCCCATCACAAATTAATATTTGTATGTATAATGAGATCAAGGTATTTTCCCCCCAAAGATATCCAGTGTCCCAGACAGACTGGAAAACATAATTACTGGGCACGATGTAGAGCACTGAGAAGGACCTTGCCTCAGTAGTGAAGAATAATGAGCCATGTGCTAATTGCTGTTCTTCTCCTACCCAACAAACACCTAAAAGAGAGATCCAAAAGGATCAGATTGTTTCCAAATAACTGCATCCTAGAAAAAAAGCTCAAGAATATTTGTAAGAATACCGAAATATCTAGCACCCAATAATGTCTCTTATCCAATCAAAGATTCCAGAAACGCAAAAGCAGGAAAATTTGAACCATGATGCTGAGAAAAGTCTATCAATCGACATCATTTAGATGTCTAAATGTCTAAATGACATCTATCATTTAGAAATGATAGATAAGGACATGAAACCAGCATTATAACTGTATCAAATGGTCAAAAAGCTAAGTACAAATATGAGATATTTAGAGGTAAATCTGGTAAAAGATCTGCAGGAAGGTACACTGAAAATGACAAACACTGCCCAGAGAAATTAAAGAAGACCTACATAAATGAAGAGCTACAGCTTGTTCATGAAAACTCAGTAACATGACATTTAAATTCCCCTCAAATGGATGTATAAATTCAAATAATTCAAATCAAAACATAAGTAGGCTCTTTTGTAGAAACTGATGAGCTAATTCTAAAATTCATATGGAAATGTAAAGTACCTGTAAGGGCCAAACAACTTTGGAAAAGAACAAGCTGGAAGGCTAATTCTTTCTTACTTTAAGACTTCTTACAAAGCTACAGTAATCAATACAATGTGGTATTGGCATCAACACAGGACAATTAGTGGAACAGAACAGTGTCCAGAAATAAACCTACATATATGGACAACTGACTTCTGACAAGGCAATTCAGTAGCAAAAGAGGAGTCTTTTCAACAAAAGGTAGAAAACAACTGGATATCCATATGACAAGAAAAGAACATATCTCACAGCATATATAAAATTAACTCAAAATGCAATATGCACTTAAAAGTAAAAACAGAAACTGGAACACCTGAGTGCCTTAGTCAGTTGAGTGTCTGACTCTTAATTTGGGCTCAGGTCATGATCTCACTGTTTCTTGGGTTCGCGCCCCACGTCCAGCTCTGCACTGGCAGCATGGAGACTGCTTGAGATTCTCCCTCTCCCTCTGCCCCTCCCCTAATCTCTCTCAAAGTAAATACATAAACTTATAAAAAAAAAAAAAAAAAGGAAAACCAAAAACTATCAAAATCAAAAAGAAAACATATCAGCAATATTTTTGTGACCTTAGGTTAACCAAATATTTCTTAAATATGACACAAAAAAATTCATTAAAAAAATTACTAAACTGGATTTCAAAATTAAAAGGCTTCTTCTATCCAAAAGACACTATTAACAGAATAAAAGGACAAGCAAATATTTGCAAAAGCATGTATCTGATAAAGGGCTTGTATCTGGAATATATATTTTAAAAGAACTTTTAAAACTTAAGAGAAAGAATTAGGAAAATGCTTCATCACAGTCACAGAATAAGATGCATGAATGGCAAGAAAAAAAGGCACATAAAAGATATGCAACATCATTAGTCACTAGGGAAGTTCAAATGAAAACCTACTTCACATTCATTAGAATGACTACAATTAAGAAGACTGACCACATCAAGTGCTGGTGTAGAAGTAAAGGCACTGAAATTCTCATACACTGTTAGTGGAAATGTAAAGTGGTACCAGCATTTTGGAAAAGTCTAGCACTTTCTTAAAAAGTTAAACACACACCTATCATATGATCCAATCAACCCATGCCTCGGTATTTACTCAAAAGAAAAGTGTATGTTTAGACAAAAACTTGTATCCACACATATCATAGCAACCCTATTTGTAATGCCCCCAAATGAAACAATCCCTGTGTCCATCATCAGGTGAATGGATAAACGAATTATGGTGTAACATAAAAGAGAATCCTGCTCAGCAATTTTTAAAAAAGGAACTGATTAGTGCACAACATGAAGAAGTACACTGAACAAAAAGCCAGACAAAAAAAGAGCACATACTCTATAATCCCATTTATATAAAATTCTAGAAAACGCACACTAGTCTAAAATGGCAGAAAGCATTTCAGTAGTTGCCTGGAGTGGGAGGGGGGAGATTATAGAGAGACTCAAAGAAACTTCTGGATGCGATATGCTCATTATCTTCATTGTTGTGATGATCTCATAGGTATATACATTATGTTGAAACTTACCAAATAGAATACTTTAACATGTATAGTTTATTGGACATTGACTATAACTTAACAAAACTACTTAAAAAAGGAACCATATATAACCAATCAGGCTTTGAAAAGCAAAGGGGAAAGTGAAAAAGACTACTGTTGAACTATAGTTCAGCACACACTTAATGATTTCCACTGTACAATATCCAAAGTGTCACACAACGTTAGTGTTTGAGATCTTGAATCTTGTTTCAATCTATCATCCCAATTTTGTACTTGAGAAAACTGAGGTCCATAAAGCAAACTCCCTCATCACAAGAGCCTTGATGCATTTATCTTTATGTTCCCACCACAATCATTAATTACTAGTTCTATAACTTACTAGCTACAAAAGGGGAAAAGACCATGCCTGACCTCCTAAATTCAGCACTCTTTATATTACACTGCCTGGCCTCTTAAAATAACTGGGTCCTTTTAGAATTATGAGACACATTTTATCATGTATAAAAATGTTGATTTAAGATACACCCTACTAAAGATCTTCAACTAAAATGTTTAATATTTTTATTAATCAAATGGTTTGTGAAACACATTTTATAACGGATCAAAACAGAGCCTTTTCCTAATTATAGTCAAACATGTCATAACTACTTTATTACATAAACATGTATTAAGGTCCTTTACAGTCAATAAATAGGTTAAAATTTTCAGCTAATGGGAGCAACCTGACCTAGACTTTTCAAATAATGAATTGCCCACATACAAAATAACTTTAGTATAATGAGAGAAAACGTGTGATTTAGTAAATAAGTGTTATAAATATATTAAGTCTTTACTCTGTTAATGGCTCACAAATTTTTTTTTATTTTTTTTAACATTTATTTATTTTTGAGACAGAGACAGAGCATGAACGGGGGAGGATCAGAGAGAGAGGGAGACACAGAATCTGAAGCAGGCTCCAGGTTCTGAACTGTCAGCACAGAGCCCAAAGCGGGGCTCGAACCCACGAGCCGTGACATCGTGACCTGAGCCGACGTCGGACGCTTAACCGACTGAGCCACCCAGGCGCCCCAATGGCTCACAAATTTTAGAGAGCCTCAGAATCACCTGGGTGGTTTGTTAAAAAGGTGAACACTACCGTAAGAGCAAGTTTTACAATAAACCACTATAAGGAAATTGAGGATGAGAAAAAACAATACAGTGTGCTCCAATGGAAAAATGGACTTTGTTGGGCACACCCTGCCTTGGTATCTGATTCTAGTCTCCTATTGACTTTGAGCTATTTTATAACTCCAAGTAACTTGTTGATAACTGATTGTCATAGGTAACTGAGAGCCAAATACATTATTCTTGTCTACATTCTGTCTAGGAGAGGTTCAGTTTACTCCTCCAAACAGAAAAGGCCAATTTCCTGTCCATTTGTAAATTCATGTCAATGTTCCCTTATATCATACGAGTCTTAATTTCTCTGACCTCTCCTTTAAATTGGTTATAACACCTGCCTCGTTCCCTCTTCATTATGATTTAAATATATCTTCATATGTGTTCAAGACATAGAAAACTCATTGTTGTACATCATATAAGAGTGATGATTTTATCTTTTTTTGAAACTTAGAGTTGTATAGTACATATGCTAATACAGGGGTCTTTTTCAGAGCAGCATCTAGAGCAGTAGCAGAAGCAGCACCTGAAAAATTGTTAGAAATGTACATTCTAGGCCACATTCAGGCCTACTAAATAAGAAAATCTGGGAAGAAGGGCCAACAATCTGTTCTTTTTTTTTTTTTAATGTTTATTTATTTATTTTTGAGAAAGATTGAGAGAGAGAGCACAGGAAGACGACACAAGAACAGAGAGAGAGAGAGAGAGAGAGAGAGAGAGAGAGAGAGAGAGAATCCCAAGCAGGCCCCACACTGTCATTGCAGAGCCCAAAGCAGAGATCAAAATCCACGAATCGTGACATCATGACCTGAGACAAAACCAAGAGTCAGACCCTTAGCCAACTAAGCCACCCAGGTGCCCCATAAGCCAGCAATATTTCCTAGCAAGTCTTCTAGGTGATTTGGATGCAAGCTAAAATTTGAAAACTCGGACTAAAAGATTCCTTAAAATTGAGATAACCATTGTTTGGGGGTTATATTTATCTTGATTCTTTCCCCTTGTAAAGTCAAAGGGATCACCATATTTAATCATTAGTTTTTACAAAGAAGTAAATAACCTAAAACATGCAATGCAAATTTAAAAGTACTGAACAGCTAAGCACAGAAAATACCTGCCTAAATCAGGAGTTATGCAATATTGGAAATATGGGTTCATACCCCAGCACCCAAGGGGGTGGGGGTGGAGAGGCAGAGTGTCAATCACTCTAAGATGTTAGGATAAGGAAAAGTACATGGATTTGAGTTACAACTATTCTACTTTACACCTAAAGAATGGTTTCCTGTCAACATATATTTTGACCCGTAATTTCCTATTTTCATTTTTTAAAGTCTTTTTTTTAAAGAGCAGTTTTAGGTTTACAACAAAATTGAGAAGACAGTATTCAGATTGCCCATAAACCCCCTGCCCCCACACATGCATAGCCTCCCCCATTATCAACATCACTCACCAGAATGGTAAATTTTTTACCAAGGATGAACCTACACATAATGATCACTCAAAGTCCATAGTTTACCTTACTTACTCTTGGAATATGATGGATGTGGACAAATGCAGAATCCCACAGACACATCATATCATAGAGTATTTTCACTGCCCTAAAAATTCTGTGTTCTCTCCGTTCACCTCGCTCCTCTCCCCTCATTTTTTTATAAAATAGAATTTTCTCAGGGTAGCTCGGTCGGCTAAGCGTCCGACTTCAGTTCAGGTCATGATCTCACAGCTTGTGAGTTTGAGCCCCGCATTGGGCTCTGTGCTGACAGCTCAGAGCCTGGAGCCTGCTCTGGATTCTGTGTCTCCCCCTGTCTCTGCCCCTCCCAGGCTCATGTCTCAGAAAAATAAATGAACATTAAAAAAAAGTTTTTTAAAATTCATAAAATATGAGTTTCTCATTTAACTTTTCCACTGTTTACAACAAAGGTTAAGAAAATGTAACAAATAATTACCCACATAATTCAGATACTTAAATCCCGTTTTTATATTCAATAGGAATTATTTAGCCTGGCTTTCTAATCTGATAAGATCTGCTAAAAATGGGCTCATCTCTCCAATTCACTACTTAAATACACACCATTCAGAAACATTAAAAAAAAATTTACAAAACTGAGGTAGCCTCTTATCCAGCAATGTTTAAAAAAACTAGATAAGTTTCTTCTTAAACAGCTAAATTACAAACATCTAAAATAAATACTAGAATATGAAAAGATATGAAGGTCCTATAATCAAATTATAAAGGGACTCTAATATTCTTGATTTTTATTTGTTTGTTTTAACTGAGCTATTTTCCTCCAGAATTACTACATACACATTTGAGTTATATCTACATATTCCCAACATCTGCTTCTAACAAAATTTTCTGGCATTTTAGTTCTTTTTTTTTTTTTTTTAATTTTTTTTTTCAACGTTTATTTATTTTTGGGACAGAGAGAGACAGAGCATGAACAGGGGAGGGGCAGAGAGAGGGAGACATAGAATCGGAAACAGGCTCCAGGCTCTGAGCCATCAGCCCAGAGCCTGACGCGGGGCTCGAACTCACGGACCGCGAGATCGTGACCTGGCTGAAGCCGGACGCTTAACCGACTGCGCCACCCAGGCGCCCCACTGGCATTTTAGTTCTTATGAAGACCAAATATCAGAAGGTAAGAATCCCATCTGGAAATACACAGATGACAAATTCCTAGGCTTTTTGCCCGCAAGTGTCAAGAGTAATGAACCTCTGACCCACCTGAAGTATTTACTGTTAGCAATTTTTTAAATCCAACACGCAAAAACTTATACATGTAAGGATGGGTTTCCTCACCTTTAAGCTAAAATATTAAATAATTTAGAATATAAGAGAGCTGTACTTCAAGAGACAATTAATATTTTACAAGAGTAAACCTAGCACTCTGAATAACAACACAAAGGTATGTAATAAGAAGCAATTGGTAAAAAGGTAGCAAATAAGTCAAAAGGGAAAAAAGTTATCCTAAACATGTTTTCAGAAGGTAAGGGCATTATTTGAGAATTTAAAAATGGTTCATACATAAGTGGTATGAGTTTTATTGTGTGAAACATTTTTACATGACCCATGTTGCTATGGTAATTCCATACATATCCCTTTTGCTGATTATAAAATATAGCATTTAGAAAAGATATGTAAATGTCACGCTTTAGGATAAGGATGAATATAAAGGGTAAGATATGTATGTTCACTAGTATAAATAATGCTACAAAGAATATTCTTCTTTTGGATTATTTACATAGTATAAATAGACGACTGCCAGCTCAAAGGATAGGAACCTGTCTTCATTTTTACTGGAGAAAATATCTCTTCTCCTGTTCTCATACTTAATACAAAAAGAGTATTACTGTTTCTATAGCTAAGATACGATTTTCTTAATAAGTTTTAATTTCCAAATCCTCAACTATTTTTATAGTTTTACTGAATTTACAATTTTTTAAAAAAAATTTTTTTAACATTTTTATTTACTTTGGAGAGACAGAGAGAGAGAGAGAGAGAGAGAGAGAGAGAGAGTGCATGAGCAGGGGAGGAGCAGAGAGAGAGGGAGACACAGAATCTGAAAGCAGGCTCCAGGCTCTGAGCTGTCAGCACAGAGCCCAATACAGGGCTCGAA